GAAACACCAACTATAGTTTAGTTCGTTTTCTGTATTTTATGAAATACTATTTGGAAGCACTAGTAGAAGTGACTATTTTCAAGACCACGGAATTTTAATTACGTAGCCTTAACGAGATGACAAAGAGAGAAATGATCGACATTATCACAAGCCTTTTCGAGATCGAATAATATCCATTAGGGACGAACACAGTTTGACTCAGAAAACAATAATCCAAATCCATCATAAATAAAAATCTACGCAACCCAGCAGCCAATCCAGTAATTACCACTAAGTTTCCACACCTATATGATGAAGACTGGATGTCAATGCAGGAAATGTCGTCAGAAACACGTTAAGTCAGGGCCTTGGAACATAATGCGTCCTGTAAGTTGAATTTCAATGTGTCGCATTAGTTAGTATGCTTCTCTGTTATGAGTACTAATATCTATATATCAAATAATTTTCCAAGACATAATAATTCTATAAATTACTGTCATATCGACAGAAGATAAGTTCTATTTCAAGTGAGATATCTGGTATGAATCAACTGTAGTATCAAGACTTAGTAGGCGACCAATCAGTTTCAATGTTTTTTGTTGTGTTTCCTAATAAGTTTAATTTCCCACAGAAATACGCTTCTTTCAGTGAACGCTTTCACCACCAACCTTAGAAAATTCGGTTACTGTTTCTAGGAGCATCTTGTTTAGTAAGTATCCAACGTAGCCTAGCTTCCAGGTCCTTGTGAATTTGAGTTTTGTTGAACCCTTATTTCTGTACTACCGATTAGGAGGCTGCTCAAGAACTTGTTCATAGTTAAACTAATTTTAAAGTCTTTAAACAATTTTGAATCCGACTCTGATACCAGTGTTTCTGAAGGGCCATGAAGCTTCTAAATAAATCAGCTCTGTTATTTTAAGTCACGAAACCATTTTATAATTCACTACACCTGATGCATCCAAGACATTTTTTCTAAGCTTTATGGAATTCTGAATCAAAGTTGACGATGATGTTAACAGTGTCCCCATCTGAAAGATCCTCAGTGTTTCTAAAACTTTTTGTTCACACGAACATTTTGGGACTGATTGTTCTCATTATGAAGGGGAAACCTGCGAGGCAAAATAATTTGCATGACCGACATAAGTGCAGTCTGTCAGTTAGGAGGTTCCACGAAAACCTAGATAATCGTGAGACTTAAGTAGGCTATTAGACTTATAACCACTATGTATATTACATATCTTGTCATAGTATTCAATTATTCTTTTGTGTATTCCAAGCCACTACAATGTCTAGGTGTGAACAAATTATTTTTATGCCATTCCAGTGATAGAAAAATGTAAAAAGCAATCAATTTTATGAACAAAAGAATAAACACACTGTACATCTTTCTAAGTGAACTCTTGTCCCATCACATGAAACAAAACAAATGTAGTGAAAACAAAGTTCTTTTACTTTTTTCTAGAATATATTCATACTATTAAAACTCTAGGGAGATATCCTGGAGATAATGAACTAATAATGGTTACGGATATATAAACAGCCTGATGGCTATATATATATATATAACAAATTAAAGTAATCGAATTCACATCAAAGTAAAAACTAATAAATTGTTTATATGCAAAGGAAAAACATAGTGATAGTCATAATAATAAGTAATACTAGTCTTGATGAAATAGTCACAGAAAAACAAAACAAAATGACTGGTAAAATTTAAGTCAACGCATTAATTGAACATTTTGATAATAATGACGAAAGTAAATCATTTTATATATACAGTCCTCATGTTGTAGATACTAAATTGTCAACAACTATATATATAAATGTATGATATACTTTCACAGTGTAACAACAGCTAAAATAACAGAAAGAAATATCTCATTTTGAAAAGACAATAATGTAAATATTAACAATTCATTTAATAACGATAATGAAAGAACGATATTTTTAATCACTTGTCAAAAGTCGACATTATACGAAGAAGAAGAACTAGGACATTAGAAATGAGTAAAACGATCTATAGAGCTACGACACGTTAATATGCATATTATCATATGCTACTTGTCACACGGAAAATATGTATATACATAAAATAATAAGTCAGTAATGAATGTGAGTGCATGAAATTACATGATACAGTAGAGAGGACAATGCGCAAACTAGGTTACCGTAACAGAAATTATAAATAATTTATTTGTTTTACACGGGTTAGTTTCCTTTGAATTAAAAAACTTTGAGAATTAACATGTTCACAACAGCCTGAGACAGAATACAAACAAGAAGGTTATATATATCTATATATCTGGAGTACTTCAATATTCAGATGATAAATTAATCTGTTTAGCGGAATAGATCAGTAGGCATTCTTGTGTAGTATTCACAATATCGTTAAGAGGTGAAAAACAAGCAATAAATGAAGAATTGAATAAATACATAATATATCATAACTCAAATAGAATAATGTAAATATGAAAAGCTTCGATAGACAAACAGTGAATGGTGATAAATGATGATCAACATAACGCACTAAAAATACTTACTTACTTACTTATGACTGTTATCCCCTCCTCGATGAGCATAGACAATTCACCAACATTCTCCATCCAACTCTGTCCTGTACAATCCTTTCCAGTTCTTCCACTTGCTATTCATTCTTTTCATGTCTGCTTCCAATTCTCGACGCAGTGTGTTATTTGGCCTTCCTCTTTTCCGTTTCCCGTCAGGATTCCAAGTTAGCGCTTGCCTCCAGATGTAATCTGATGATTTCCTCAATGTGTGTACTATCCACTTCCAAAGTCTTTACCTAGTTTCCTCTACAACTGGAACCCAGTTTGTTCTCTCCAACAATAGGCTGTTGCTGATGATATCAAACAACAAACATCCAGTATCTTGCGTAGACAGTTGTTCATAAATACCTGGACCCTTTTCATGATGGTTGTGGTAGTTTTCCACGTTTCAGCTCTGTAAGTTCAAATCGTCTATTTGCATACAACCTGTCCGTTTAATTCCGTGTTTCCCTTCAGATGTCGTGGTTTTCATAATCCAGTCAACCATCAGTAGTGTGATGCCTTTGCAGTTCTCACATTTGCTCAGATCTCTTTTCTTTCGTATCTTGATGAGGTATCCTTCTTTCCAGTCCATCGGCACTTGTTTCTACTCCCCCCAAATCTTCCTAAATAGAACTAGGAGTATTTTTGCAGTTAATTCTATGTCTGACGCTAGTGCTTCGGCTGATATATTGTCAGGTTCAGCTGCTTTCCCACTCTTGATATCTCTGATTGTTATAATTTCTTCATCACTTGATGGTGGAGTGACATCTATAGGAATATCTGTAGGTGCTGCCTCGATATCCAGTGGATCCAATGGAGCTGGTCTATTAAACAGTTCCTTGATGCATTCCACCTATCTGTTTATCTGTTCTTGAATTCCAGTGACTGGCTTACCCTCTTTGTTTTTGACCGGTCTCTCTGGTTTACTATATATTCTTGTCAGTTTCTTCGTCGTGTCGTGTCGTGTAGTTGTTTCATATTTGCTTCTCTTGCAGCTTCATCTGCTGCTAACTTTTTCACGTATTTCTGCTTATCGGCTCTAATGCTCTTCTTCACTTGCTTCTATGCATTGATGATCCTAGATCCGTGAGATTTACATCCTGTAAGTGCTTTTCGTGCTTCTTTGGACAGCATCAAAGCAACTCTCTGAGTGTGCTGAGAATTTACTTTTTCATGATCAGAATACAACAGCATGTTTCCTAAATCTATCCTTTTCTGTTCAGTTTGGGTTCAATGGGTTTCGTTGATTATGAGCACCGCAAAGTTGTATCTCCTCATTTTTTGTTGCTATTTGACTGATTCTCCCGGTCTCCAACATTATCCGGACAATCCATGTACTAATAAAAATTGTTGTTCTAGTGTGAGAAGGAGCATGGGCCTTGTGACTTCTGAAGAATCTCGGCTTTCATCATAAGGGTTCATAATTCTTCCTTGAACTCGGAGAGCAGAGTTTAAGTGGTTCAAAGTATTTATTCTGGTTAGTGTTCTTTAGCAACGTTGTTTTCTATGGGATGGGGTTGCCGACCCCACACCCAACTCTCCTCCTTTATCCGGTCTTGGGACTGGAGGTAGCCCTATAAGAGTTAGAGGCGGAGTTGGCTCCAAATAAGCTACACTTAATTCATACATTAATGAATTAAATGAAAAAATCTTAGAAACCGAGTTATTATAATAGAATTCATCAAATTAAAACATATGACAGTAGAAAATGTACTTATTTCTGTCAACTTGTCGGTATGATTCTTGAAAAGAAAGAAAGTATTCCAATGAGAAAATATCAAACTGTAAATAGTCCACCATTTTAGATAAAGAATACTAATAATTGTTTTTTTAATGACGACGGAAGTCTTCAAACATAAAAAAGATCTCAGCTTTTAGTTTTTTTTTGTCTAGTTGATTAACTAACTTATTTTCGATTTACTAGCAAAGTGCTGCAAAATGAGGTATAATGTAATATTATCCTAAATAGCATATACATCTTATGAAGAAATCTCAAAAAAATCTGTTGCCAAACTTTCAGAAGAATCATAAACGGAGCAAGGTCAAAAAGTCTTCGACAGCTGAATTGGTAAACACATCTTGATTGTTAGAAGTTAGTAAAGAAATCATCTACTAAATGTGGAAAAATAGTGTCAATTGTCAGTTGGGAGAGGTAGAAATCATCCCCATAACGATGTGAATGAAGTGATTATGATTTTGGTTTGGATATTAGGAAAGATATTAAACCGAGATGTCAATAACAGTAGAGCACTTTCGAAAGGTAACATTTGATCCACTATCTGTCTAAACTAACTAAACTTCGGGAAAACATACATATATGTACACACACATTTCATAATTAAAATAACATTATACAGATTGTATTGACTTACAGTTAGTGAGTTGGGAAGATATAAGGCACTTATGTGTGTAAGTGCAAAGTAAAAGCATGAATACAAAATAACTTGATGTAATCGTTTGACTTGTTAGTATTTATAAGATATTTTGTTGCCGTCGTAACTGTAGCACTTGTTGAAGGAACTAAAAATAAAATTAATTAAAACGAGAGTTTTAAAAGACAAACTATGGGCAATCAATTTCAAATTCTCCTAAAACGTTTAGCTGTTAATTCTAAACAATTAAGAATCAATCTAGATAACCAGTTCATTAATTAAAATTTTTCAATGTTTACTATAACTACTCAGTCTATTAGATTGGAAGGCAAATTTTTATGAAATGAAAAATCTTTGGTAACTAATATATCACAACGGAATGTACGTCAGGTTAATAATGCTTCAAGGAAACAGAAACGGAAGATTACTTCATCTAACGAACTTACTATATGCCCATCAGGAAAACGAACATTAAAAACTAAATATTTCGAAATTCGAATATGAAAGTAAGAGTCAGATAAAGGCGAATTTACTTTCGACAGCATAATCACGATACGGTTAGTTGGTGATAGGTAAAGCCAATGGCTTTTATCAAGGTCGTTTGATGTCGATAATTCATATGGTAGTTCACTAGTGTGGAGCATTCAAATTTAGTTCTCCAGATCAAGTTAAAATCTTACCGAAGTAGCATGTTAGTACTTGTTTCTAATTCACACTTCAAGGGAGATGCAGGCTTCATGACTTCATTAGGACTGAAGATTTAATAGTTATTTATCATCTAAACTGTGGTGTGTAGAGTAGCTGGAGATTAGTTGGACTGTCTATCATCGTTCTACTGATTAATCTATTTGTTGAGTTCAAACATAGGTCATTAGTTCTCTGTTAGTGATAGTTTTGTTACCATGATAGATTTAGAAAAACTATCTAGTTATTTTTCTTATAGTTTTTTATATGAAATGAACACACTGTCCAACATTGGTCACGGTTATTGAGTAAGTATTTTGTCAATCAATATTTAAACATCTTTTGTTACTTGTTGAAGCCTACACACTAATGAAATGAGTTATTGATGATTCACTAAATTTGGAATTGACGAGATTCACTGATCCAACTTAACGTACTGCTGGAGGTTGCTAATAGAAAGTCGCTAATAAGTAGCTTATAGAAATTTATAAAAATGATGATAATTATCATATTAACGCAATTAGGTATAAAAAATAATTGAAGAGAAGTTTTTACGACGTCAAGAAAAAAAGGTGGACTGGAGATTTAAAATACACATGTAACTGGAATCTTATCAACAGATATCGTATTAGTGTGTCATTTGGAACCAAAGATCATAAAAATTGATTTTATTTTCCCTCATTTCTTGAAAGTCATGGTGGATGAGGTGACACCATAATATTAAGATGTGGTTCAAAAAATTACTCAATATGAATACTGTAGTATATGCGACCAAACTTCCTGACGTTAGCTGGTCACCAGAACAATATAATGAAATAATTTGTGATTATACTTGTATGTGTATTTATTGATGTCTTTTAAGAAAGCATAGGATCAATCTAATTTAAGAAATTAGTGTAAAATCACAAATCGAATAATTGCTTTAGCAAAACTGTGTAAGTACTAACCAGGAGTGAGGACGGTGATGGTTCATCGTCTACCATTCTTAGATAAGGAAATAATCACAGACAAAGGATGAAATAGTGACGGACGTCACCTATTTAGAAAAGAGACTTCAGAAGTACTGTATTGAAATAGAATGAAGTGGTAGTGGTGATAAGATGGAAACCAGTTCACTCACTGGATCCTAAATGGAGAATTATGAACAAGATGTTCAAATTCAGACAAATTTAATTTATTTCAAAATAATTTCGATGTAAGCTATCAAGTAAAGTGTTAATATAAACAATCAGGACAGTAAGTCGAACTACTGTATTAAAATTAATTCATTTCTGCTTATATACAAACCAAGGTCTCTTGAAAATAAATACTTGGTCAGAGAAACGTCATACTCAAAGAAAAACGAAGTACTAAAGTTATTAACGGTATAATTTCCCCATACTATTAAAAATGGGTTCATTACTATCAATTCCACGGATCTCCTATGCACTAATGTGGTGTTTGTATGAACTAATGATTCCTTTGCACTTGATGACTGCCTCGATTCGAATTCGAAATACAAAACGTTTGTTTTTGCTCACCAAATTCTGTTTACTTAGATTGTGTTATTTTTGGGATTTCTAGTTCGTACAATAATTCAAATGCTTCTAAATATCACGACTATACAACATAAAATCAAATATGAACGTACTACCAACAGGATAATTCATATTTCTAATATGTTGTCTCTGTAAAATAGTAACTAATTACATAAGAAATTCAGTCAGTCAGTGGTCTTGAGCGCTGTTAGAAGTATAAGGGTGGTCATCACTTCCCGGTTACCTACATCATGGAAGAGTTCCTCCAGAGGTACCTAGATAGGAAACTGGGTTAGAGTTGGTCTTATTAACCTGATAGGGTGACCACAGTGTCCATGGGACAAATACATGAGGCCTTTTTGTGGGTAGTTTTTGTGTTAGCTTCGCATTAGTTGAGACCTTGCCGCCGGAGACGGATATCCGTGAGGTAAGGCGGTGTGCACTTTAAGGTCGACCTTTTATAACCCCAACCTTCTTCAGCAGATAGGAAACATCACTATCATGCTAGTTGTCTAAGGAAAACACTTTACTGCCGCCACACTTCTGTACAGTCGGCAGTACGATTTCGCCCTCAGACCTTGGGGTTTGCTGATTTTAGTCTTACCACTCTTCAATCGACCTGCCTGACATAGTAGGACCTTGAAAAACGAATGTTCAAGCCAGTGTAGCCCGATTGCTCCATCGCGCAAGGGGCAAGCCCAATCAACAAGTCAAGGTAACAGCAACGGTTAGGTCATAAGAAATTACAAGAGAATAATGACATTGTTCGTAGATTATAAAATGAATTAAAATAAAGTATAACAATTTGATTGTTTAAATTATTAACCGTAACCATAACTCACGATGGGATATTACCACTACTAAATTTCCAAAGAGAAATTGAGTGAGTAAAGTTTATTACTGTTCATTCACACTCAAATACTTAACCAGTTAATAAGGTAGCGAGTGAAATAGAAAATAAGCAATCACAAATATTTTGGCAAGTGTTATTTGAAAGTAAAATAGAGAATAAACCCTACTCATAATGAACAAGACAACAAACAATAAGGACTAGTGTCTTTTCTATTTATCTAATCTCAAGATAATTTAATTATTCCATTTTGAATAATAAAAATGTTTACTTATAAAAAAAAACTTACATAGATAATCATGGCAGAACCACCTTGAACTATTGGTTCAGGTAAAGCACGTAATGGACAACTTTCTAAATTCAATATAATCAATTTTCCACATAGTGAGAGTTCAGCAGGTAAACTATTCAAATTCGGATTATTATTCAAATGTAGGTCGTGAAGTGTCGGTATATTACCTAAACGAAAAAGGTAGAAAAAAAGACGGTCAGACAAAATGTACTTAGAAAAAGAACAACCGATAATGTTAACAAAATAGACAACAGAATTGAAAATGTCATATAGATAGAATTATTGTTATTATGAATCTGAAATGATTAGTGATTATTATACTTAAAGTATCAAATAAGATATAGCTGAAATTGCTACGCTGCTAGACTTTGGAAAGATGTATACCAACTGAATGCATACATTTTAGCACATTTCTAAGAAGCTAAGAATAAAAGCGTTCAAAAATTGAAACATCAGCCAATAATTTTATAAATTAATACATAATGTAAATTTGATCATTCTGCAATTAATTTTTCGTAATTTCAAACTACAAGAGTGGGTTTATAAGATGAAAGAAATCGTCTCATTACAGCGAATTGAAATCTATATTTTGAAAGGTGATACAGCTCGATTTGATAGTCACATAATTGAACGGATCCAAAAGCAATTCATCTACTTTTCTAAAGTTAGATAACAGTCATGATCTCAGAAAATAAACTATTTATCATATGATTTATTTCATCTTTTTAATGTAAGCTAATTGATAGACATTCTGAACTGTTCTGGAGAATACACCTGATTATCATATTTTGATTAAAACTAATCACAAGAGTGATTGTTAATTATCCACATCAAAAGTATTTAGTACGATTAACAAACTTAATTCCATATGGCAAAATATTGCCGAAGTTCTATGACGTTCATATAAAATCGAACTCATCTACTCACCGGTTAACATAGATTATATGATCTACAAGTTTTTCACTAAGTAGGTCGCATTACTATACCATAAACAGATTATAGCAGCTGAATTATATACAGAGATGATTAATCGAGTCAGAAATTAAAAACGGTAGGTCGATAGTTTAAATATGATTAGAACAGTTTTCCTCTGATCCTAGTTGTTATCCAATTTGATAATTTATATTTTACTAAATCTACCCTATAAAGGATGGCGCATACAAATGAATTTACTTGAATTGAATATCTAATGAACCGAATGTACTAAATTTTACAGATTTATTGAGAAATATATCAGATTATGAATTTCTTTGTGAATGTTGAACCCAATCAAAATTAAACATCTAACTACCGATTTTAAAGAGTCAAATCTTTTATCAAGTGATAGAAAATTGTGGATTGTTATGTCCCTAACTTATACGACTATCGCGAGTACGATTGCCAAATTAGATACGCTGACTCATACGACCAACAAATGACGCATACACGTGAACGAACGGATTCGAGTCTGGATTGGCTTTTTTCCTTGCCTGTTAAGTCCAGAACACTAATATCAGCCTCCGCGATATTAACCATATATTTCAAACATACTGGGTTTATATACAAACCAGACAGACCACATCGCACCGTAAATAAAAAATAACATTTGTACAAGATCAAGTCAAAAGTGTGTGTGATTGTGAGAGAGACTGTAATCAATAAACTGGGCATGACTTAAGAATAGTAAATCATATAATAATGGTCAATAGGTCAAAATAAAGTTTATAAGAGGAATATAAGTGTCCATAATCTAGTTACTTAACGATTATACAATAAGAATATATGTAGGATATTGGACCATAAATAGATCCCACAGTTAGCTTTCATTATTCTCGTCGGGATATAAAACGGATAATTTTGTTTTAGACAATAAGAATAGGAGGCTCATACAAAAGAATATTATTTCTGAAAAATATGGATGAAATTCACCGTCATAATCATGGTTTCAAATATTATTCTTGTTTTTAGTGTTGTTGAGTTCGGTAAGCTAAGTTGTTTAATTATGGAGATCTCACTGATGTTGTCAACAACACCAGGGCTCAGTTCTTAAATTCTATAGGAAAGAGATACTGATGATATTGTCCAGAACGTCAAACAAAACGTCACAATTGAATCATCCAGTTCAGAGGACTAAATAACACCAAAATTCTCCATAACAACCTCCAATATTCGTCATGTGTATTCTGTTTTGGCGCTAAAGTAGAAATGCTCGAACTTGTAAAACTTCACTTGATCAAACAAGATGTTCAATTATATTTCGTCTTTTGTTGATTTAAAACCTAATTTTTTGATGGGATTTGATTTACATCAGATAACTAACAGCACACTGCAGTAACATGTAATATTGGATTATTATCAGAATGGGAGTTTGTGGAGATCTTAATAATTTAATGGCTGATTTCACCAGTCAATTTAAGCTAAGATTAAAATTAAAATCTAGACAGTATCAAATATAAAGTATATTGATCCATTTTTATCGGTTTGTGGTTTAAGAATTTACAAAAGCCGCAACATTATCTTGATTCATGAGTAGATATAACTGATTATTAGGTAACTTTATGGTAAGCAATCTACGAGTTCATAACCCAATGTTCTCAGATGCACTTCCACGACATCCTAAAAGTTCGTATACGCTTATAAGCTGAAAATTTTGCCAGGATTATTTGCATTGTTGTTTAAGGATGATTTACCACCAAGATTTCTAGCATTTTTCCATGTTCACTAACTGAATATACCACCCAGTAATCGCTTTTCATTTTATGGTTTTGTAAGAAACAAACTCAGTTTGAACAGAGCGGGTAGAAATTAGTTAATGCAATCTCATGAAAGTATTCCTAGTGACAAAAGGAGGAGTTTATTAATCACTGTCATCTGAATATGACTAACAAAATAAAAGAAAGAACCGATTATTAATTATGGTGAACAAAACACACTTATAGTACGGTCTTAAGGATCTGAAAGCACCAAATATTATACTCAAGTAAAGTATGCAAAACATGTTAGAAACTAAGGCTAACTGGTCGAATTTGTCACTGACTAGTTGGCCAAGCTAAATACCTTTATTTGTGATATTAATGTAGTAGGATAAGTGATAGAAACTTAAGCCAATATTGAATAGTAAATGGTAGACAACAAGAAGCGTGTTTATATTATAATTCATACAAAAAATATCACCTTCACGTGCTTCAGTTTTGTATACAATAAAAAATGCCATTTTAATAGATAGAAAATAGAACAAAATCAGCTGGTGGTAACTCAATTGTCGTAAAATTGTAAACATGTCTCCAGATATATGAAGCTATATGACTTCCCAAACTGTGAACCTAGGCGATGCGGGTTCGAATCCCACACTGAACACCAGTTACTTTAAAGCTGCTGATGAGTGCATGGAGATGAGTTCCAAAGTCTCCTGCCGACTACCTTTAACCATATAATATCCAAACGATAAGAGAATTTTATAAATTAAATAAGTATATATTATGTAGATTAGATATCAGTCAGTAAATGATAAAAGAAAAGAATCAAGTAATTTCTCATTCTGCACATATGTACAGTCAGCTATAATAATTAATGTTATTACATTTAATATAATACATATATTAGTGATATTGATATTTCATCTCTCTGTCAACTGTAAGCAAACCAGTTCAATATGATTTTATTGGATATTTATAATATTCAGAAGAATGGAATTAAAAATGTATAGATGAATGTACAGTCGTGAATAGTACTTTACTACTATACACATTGTAATAGAGAACTGGACATTTTATTTACTGTGAACATGGGGAGTGGCTCCCTAAAAAAACCACCTGCTTCGGTTTAGGCGTTCGAATAGTATCCCAGCCCTCATATAAATCAAATGATTTGTGTGGCGCATATATATTTGGTGCCTCTTTGTACCAATGTTTATGTGTTTAAATAAATAAATAAAACTCTAAATATTGTTTTATAAACTCAAGAGGAAATTAGAGAGTTTTATGATCAATGGTTTATAATACTGAGAAACGATACTCTAATTAGTTATTAAGCTACTCATTTATAACAACAAATTTGTGAATAAAAAACAATAAAGGTTCATACACTGTTAAAAGCTTCTTAGTCACGATTCGCATTGAATAATTTTACGAAGTGAACACTTGAACTAATATGGGAAACAAGGATTAATCATATTCAAATTTAAATGAATGCTCCAGCATAAATAAAACTTGATTTAATCTAATCGAAGGAATCAGTGATTTGGTGAAGCAGTATAATTTCCAGAATCAAACTGTACGGTTATTTTATGGAATATCGAACGACAAACGAGATTGTGGTTAGGAAAGCACGGAAATTCAGATGTATATATATATCATCGTATTAAATTCCAACTCTATATTTTCTAAGTTTTATCAATTTGAGATAGAGTGAGACTTTTAGTTAATATCTGTTTCATTGACATTTTCAATGAACATTACATTTTAAGTTAAAATATAACTCGGTAAAATACAATAACCGACTAAAGTTTCATTTAACAATATAATATCCATTTAACCTTAATTAGATTAATGCAAACGAATATAAATCTAAATAATACTTAAATATGTTACTATTACAGATACATAAAAATATAATCAGTATATTATTATTATTATTATTATTATTATTATTATTATTATTATTATTATTATTATTACAATTGCAGTCACTTATCTATCTTGCTGATTCAAAATGTATTTTTATTTAAAATTTATTACTGATAAATTGACATATTACATTTAAACTATGATGGTGGTATTATGTAAACTTTTTAAACAATACATTATTACTATTATTATTATTATTACTATGTAACATGAACAAAGGTTAACTATGTACATCATTTTGACTGATATTCATATGTTGATTAAATGTAAACAACATTCAATTATACTCATCATTGAATGAATTAAAATAAAAAAATAATCAAGATGATATTGATATTATAATGAATTAATTCATTGTAATTTCCATAAGACATGAAATGAATAAGTATGGTACTTTATGATTCTCATTTTAAACAAGGATAATGATGATAATTGAAAAAAAAAAAACAATACAAACAGTGAGACTAGAATTGATGAACAAACTAATCAGATAAGATAAAATAATAGATCTAGAATTTCAGTGTGAAATTCATTCATCTATTTGACTAAAATAGCATTTTAGC